CAGCTGTAACTCCATCCATCTGGACGGTAGAAAACTGCTGGATTCTTTTTCTTTTTCCTTTTTAAATTTTACATTGCAGGCCTCATTAGCAGAAAACTGCTGGATTTGTATGAAAGCAACAACACGATTTATTTCATACTGGCAACATAAGGTGAATTTGAATTCAATCTGATGCCAAGCTTTGCGTGGGTTGAAGCTCTTAAAGATATGAAGCTCCCTACCCTCCAAAACTCCGCTTTCTGGCAGCAGAAACAGATGATTAAACAACAAACCCTAACAAGGCAGTAAAGTGACAACAAAAAGTACCTGGGGCACAAAGGACAAACTGCTCTGCCTGGGGGTAGGGGCTTGTCAAAGGTTTAGGAACAAGACCAACTCAAATGAGTCCTCAAAGATAACCAGGATTTTTCCAGGCCAAGAAACGCCTAGGGGGAAAACTGGCTCAAAGGCAAAGAGGTCTGTTTGGGGAATAGCAATTACATAGGGAATTCAAATCCGAGCCAAATAAACCACTTCAACCATAATTTTCTGCATTTTTTTTTTTTTTGAGACCGTGTTTTTGCTCTTGTCACCCAAGCAGGAGTGCAGTGGTGCGATCTCAGCTCACTGCAACCTCTGCCTCAAGTGATCCCTGCCTCAGCCTCCAGAGTAGCTGGGACTACAGGCACACGCCACCATGCCTGGCTAATTTTTATATTTTTAGTACAGGCAGTTTTTCACTGTGTTGGTCAAGATGTTTTCCATCTCTTGACCTTGTGATCCGTCCACCTTGGCCTTCCATCATAAAGCCACATGTGAACTCCCTTTCTGTAACACTGTTCTCCTCATGGGCACCTTCACCTGAGTGAAGCAGGAAATGCTGCTTCTTAAGGGACCTCTTATGTATAAGGAATGGATCATGTTTTTGTTTTTGTTTTTGAGACGGAGTCTTGCTCTGTCGCCCAGGCTAGAGTGCAGTGGCATGACCTCGACTCATTGCAAACTCTGTCTCCCAGGTTCAAGCAATTCTCTGCCTCAGCCTCCTGAATAGCTGGGATTACAGGTATGCACTATCACACCTGGTTAATTTTTGCATTTTTAGTAGAGATGGAGTGTCACAATGTTGGCCAGGCTGGTCTTGAACTCCTGACCTCAGGTGATCTGCCTGCCTCGGCCTCTTAAAGTGCTGGGGTTACAGGCATGAGCCACCGTGCCCAGCCCCATGTTTTGTTTTGCTTATTTATTCATTTTTGAGACAGTCTCACTCTGTTGCTTGGCTGAGTGTAATGGTGCTATCGCAGCTTGCCGCACCCTCAACCTCCTGGGATCAAGTGATCCTCCTGCTTCAGCCTCTCCAGTAGCTGAGACTACAGGTGAATGCCACCATGCTTAGCTATTTTTGTGATTTTTTATAGAGACAAGGCCTCACTGTGTTGCCTAGGCTTTGCTTTTTTGAACGACATGACCCTGCCATCCTGGTCACCACTAATTGGACAACTTGGAGCTACATAAAGGCCAGCTATTCGCAAAGAGGTCAGCAACAGCCTGAGAAGTGGAGTGGATTGAGAACAGGGAACCTCATTGTGTGTATATACAATGGCTGCATGACCCGAGGCAGGACTCTCTGGGAATATCTGAATGGGACACAAAGGGCACTTACTGTCAAGAGAGAAGCATGGGCCAGCCCGGTGGCTCACACTTGTAATCTCAGTGCTTTGGGAGACCGAGGCGAGCAGATCACCTGAGGTCAGGAGTTCAAGACCAGCCTGGCCAACAAGGTGAAATCCCATCTCTACTAAAAACACAAAAATTAGCCAGGCAGGATGGCATGCACTTGTCATCCCAGCTACTTGGGAGGCTGAGGCAGGAGAATCACTTGAACCCGGGAGGCGGAGGTTGTAGTGAGCCAAGATCACGCCACTGCACTCCAACGTGGGTGACAGAGCGAGACTCTATCTGAAAAAAAAAGAGAGAGCAGTATGGAATCTGGCAGATACCAGGGGAAGACACAGGAAGTAGAAGCCACAGGGTGGAGGAGCCCATAAGCCAGAGGAAGCCCTGAAGCACAGTGAAGAATTTCAGATAAGGTAAAAGAGGCAGGCAAAGCAAAACCAGCAGAGGTGGAGGCTCTGAGACACGAGTCCAGCCAACATCTCGGTACTGCTAGGGCATTTCCTGACCACCGTGCCAGCAGTGAGGACGCATGGCCCACCTCCCCTGCCCGTGGTTGTAGCCACAGGCCACACGCAGAAGTGATATTTCAAGTTCAGTTAAATAAAATACATTCCTTTTTTTTTCTTTTTTGAGATAGAGTCTTGCTCTGTCATCTAGGCAGGAGTACAGTGGCATGATCTCAACTCACCACAACCCCTGCCTCCCAGTTCAAGCACTTCTCCTGCCTCAGTCTCCCAAGTAGCTGGGATTACAGGCACCCGCCACCATGCCTGGCTAATTTTTGTATTTTTAGTAGAGACGGGGTTTCACCATGTTGGCCAGGCTAGTTTTGAACTCCTGACTTCAGGTGATCCGCTCGCCTCAGCCTCCCAAAGTGCTGGGATTACAGGTGTGAGCCACCATGCTCAGCCTGACTAGTTAACTTTACAGAATCCTAATCATAAGCCCTCAATCACTACAATCAATTGGAACAATTTCAAAATGTCCCTCCCATCCCCTGCCAAAAAAGAAAAAATCAAAAACCAAAACACATACACAATCAACCAGAAGGACCCTTACAAAGGAAAATGGCTCAGATCTCCACATAGCAGGAGTAATAATTACACAACACAATGCTTAAATTTCTAATTCCCTTACCTCCTACATTCAGCCCTGTCTCCGGTCAGGAAAGAGTGGCAGGCCTTGCTGGATGTGGTGGCTCATGGGCTGAGTCAGGAGGATTGCCTGGGCCCAGGAGTTCAAGACCAGCCAGCCCTGGCAACATAGCAAGACCCCGTCTCTACAAAAGTTATAATTAGCCAGGCATGGGCACATACCTGTAATCCCAGTCTCTTGGAACCTTTGAGCCTGGAAGGTCGAGACCAGCATGTGCCAGGTGCTATGGCTCATGCCTATAATCCCAGCACTTTGGGAGGCTGAGGCCATGAGCCATGATTGTGCCACTGTACTCTAGCCTGGATGACAGAGTGAGATCAAAAAAAAAAAAAAAGGTAAGAAATAAAGATAAGTTTTGAAAAGTAAAGAGTTGGCAGGTCGGGGTCCTCTGGCAGTGATCATCCACACACAAAACACAAAAATGATTTCAGGGATGAACTTGTGTAAGTTTCTGAAAGACATGAATGGGTGCATTTGTGTTCTATTGCCTTGCCAATCTGTTACTGCTAACACAGGGTGTACAAATCCAGCACCAATAGATAGATGGAGTGGAGAAGTCAGGGTGTTTCCCTTAAGTTTCTGTTCAGTCAGCTGATTAGGATCACAGACCCTGAGAGTGGCAAGGGACTCTGAGGCCACCCTGTCCAATCCTGGAGGTTTCCTCTGCAGGACTTCCGCAGCCCTGCTTCCCTTGACTTTGCTCACCATTGAGGAACCTGCTCATTCTATTCTCAGCACCATGTGTTCTCATTTCCTAACCGCTGGCCCTAGATTCCACTTCTAAAATGACAGAGTTGGTCTACTTTCTCTTTCCTGAGCAAATCTTTTAATTAGGTGAAGACACTGATCCCTCTTCAAGTATTTTCAAATCAATCATCCTTTTTGTTTGTCTTTATAGTCTCTCTTTAAAAAAAAAAAAAAAAAAAAGCCCAGGCGCGGTGGCTCAAGCCTATAATCCCAGCACTTTGGGAGGCCGAGGCGGGTGGATCACGAGGTCAAGAGATCGAGACCATCCTGGTCAACACGGTGAAACCCCGTCTCTACTAAAACTACAAAAAATTAGCTGGGCATGGTGGCACATGCCTGTAATCCCAGCTACTCAGGAGGCTGAGGCAGGAGAATTGCCTGAACCCAGGAGGCGGAGGTTGCGGTGAGCCGAGATCGCGCCATTGCACTCCAGCCTGGGTAACAAGAGCGAAACTCCGTCTCAAAAAAACAAACAAACAAACAAAAAAAGTGGAGATTGGCCTTTTTACTTCCCTGGCTGCTCTCTTCCAAACTGCTGTGTCAATGTCCCCCCATACAGCAGGGTGGCCAGACCTAAAGAGTCTACATCTCACTCCAAGCACATGGGAGGGAAGTGGAGCTTTCACTTCCCTTACTGTGGACACTGTCATTCTATTTAAACAGCTCTGTGCCTCCCCCACCCGACTTTTTTAAGCCCCAATTTCTTTTGATCATTACCTCTTCTGGCTCTGAGAAAATCACAAATTTAAAGAGAATTCTAAGCCTATGAAGCTTTGTATACCAACATCTAAAACAAGCACCTACAATGGTTTACACTCCTTGCCATACGGGGGAATCACTTAGAAGCCGTGCAAATACCGTAAGTTATGTCTGGCCCCAAGGAGGGAAACGAGCCCTGGCTTAGGTTATTTTCAGAAGCCCCAGATGATCATAATATGTATCCAGGGTTGAACCACCAATCCAAAGAAACCATGACTATGATCTTCATATGGGTTCCAGTTACTTTTTCCTTTGAACGGCAAATATGAATTCTTGTTTTAAATTGAACTAGCAGAACTAAATTGGTTCACTATAAACAACTTGAGATTATTCAAAAATCATTTGGAACTTGGACCAAAGGGGAGATGGAGCTGATTTAATAACAACTGAGACCGAACTGAAAGTCATCCTAAAAAGAACATTAGGCTTAGGAGACGCAGTTTATAATTGGTGCATGTGCTTACTTGCTAGCGGCGGGACTTGAGCACATCATGTAATCATATTGAAGTTTCTTCATCTACAAAATAGAGGCCCTGGTCTAGAAATCTTTAAGGTACTCTAAGGTTTTTTTAAAACTTCTTGGAAAAAAAAAGAAATAGAGACAAGATCTCATTATGTTGTCCAGGCTAGTCTCAAACTCCTGGTCTCAGGAGATCCTCCTGTCTCAGCCTTCCAAAGTACTGGGATTACAGACATGAGCCACCATGTCCGGCCATGCTTTAAATTTTTGATTCAAGATCAGAAAAGAGCTTACAAATAAAAAATTCAAAAGTTGGCCGGGCGCAGTGGCTCACGCCTGTAATCCTAGCACTTTGGGAGGCCGAGGTGTGTAGATCACCTGAGATCAGGAGTTCAAGACCAGCCTGGCCATTATGGTGAAACCCCATCTTAAAAAAAAAAAAAATTTGAAAGTTGTATCTTGCTTTCATTTTGAAAGGACGGGAGCTTCAACAGGGAAAACAATATTACTGAAATGTTCAAATTGTCATTCAAATTTTATTTATAATACTTATTCCTGCTTTTAAATGCATTACACTGAAAGGTGAATAAGGTTTATATTTTTACTTACTTATTTTTATTTCTATTTTTGAGATGGAGTCTCGCTCTGTGACCCAGGCTGGAGTGCAGTGGCATGATCTCGGCTCACTGCAACCTCCGCCTCTCAGGTTTAAGCAATTCTCCTGCCTCAGCCTCCCCAGTAGCTGAGATTACAAGCATGCACTACCACACCTGGCTAATTTATATATATATATATTTTTAGTAGAGATGGGGTTTCACCATGTTGGCCAGGCTAGTCTCTAATTCCTGACCAAGTGATCCACCTGCCTCAGCATCCCAAAGTGCTGGGATTACAGGCTTGAGCCACCCTGCGGCCACGTTTTTATTTATATGGCCAGTGTTTCTTCCATCTTTTGTCCTGTGAACAAAGCTGTTCACAAGAGTGGGTGATAGAACACATCTCCATTTTACCATTTTACAGACGGAAGATTTTTTTTTTAATTTAACATTTAAAACTATAAAGATGTTTGTTAACATTTTTTCCACTCTTTTCAAAGCAACTTACTCAGTATTGACCATGCAGTGTCTATTGGTAAAAATAAAAGCTAAGAGATGTACATACCGGGAATCCTGTTGAGCGTCACCCAGAAATGTTCGTCGGGGCTGTAGGTGTCCTTGGACCAGGAGAGTAAGTCAAGTGCGAGCTGGTCTTGGAGGACAAAGTTAGCAAAATCCCTTGTGAGAGCCACGTAGGCCGTGCCAAAGTAAATGACCATGTCGTGAGGAGGAGGAGTTTTTAACTTTGTGGTTTTAATCACATAGGAATTTTTGTGGTCTAACAGTTCTTGGTGGACGTACTTAGTCCGTCCAACTGCATGCTCAGGAGGCAGGACCCCAGGAGTGATATTTTTCCCTTTAAATCCCTTCAGATACTGAACTATTTCCCTGTTGGTTTTCAGCGGAAAGTCTTGGCCGCAGGTGTTGATGACATACTTCCAGGGAACTTCAGAAGCCACAAGGTCTTCCAAGCAGTGCAGGTCAGCCCGGAGCCTGGAGATACCCCCATAGACGACCTGCTCCATCTTGGAAGCCAGAAAAGCATTTGGGAAGCAGCTGAGTAACTGTTTCACTGCATCTTTAAAAGCAGCCGTCGCCTTCTGATCCAGGTGTACACAGTAGACATTCTGGGGCATATAAATCGCCCTGAAGAGCCTCTCAAAAGTGCCAAAGTCTTTGTGAATGGTCACTGTGTAAGCCAAAGGGAACCCAGCCTCTTCTTCAGAGAGCGTTTCTGTGACATAGTGGCTTCGAACCATGTACTCATAGCAGGTAGCTTCACCAAGCGTAGTTTTTAATGCATTTTCTGTTGGGTAAAAAACTTTCCCCTCAAAAATCTGATGACATGCTTCTGCTAACAGTGAAGCATTGGACAGAGCTGCCCTCAGAAAATGTTTATTCTCCCATAACTCAGTATTGTAAACAAGTACAAAAATCAGGGCAGAAATAAGAGACACGCTAAAAAGACAGTGCTTCCAAGAGCCCATCATTCACAACCAGGAAGTGAGTAAAATGTCTCTCTCTTGAGATAGGATCAGAATGTTGATATATTTAACTTACATGTTCTCCAGGTTCCAAAATCATCCTCTTGATGGCTGAAGCTCTGGTCTGGCTGTTCCCCGTCCCTTTTCTTTCTTCCTCCCCTCTTCGTTTACCACTAGGTTGCATTTTCACTTTCCTCTGACACATTTCTGAAGTGGCTCCTTTGCATTTGGCTGGCCTGTTCACCTGCTAACCTGCAAGCTGTGTATACACAAAAACAAATGGCCTCAGGAAAGTTCTGATTCCTGGAGGTCCACCTGTCCCCACAGTGAAGTCACAAGTGGGTGAGGTGACCATTCTGCAAGTCATCAGCTCTCAAACCTTAACCCCAGCCTCTTCTCCCGGCCAGAGTCTAGTGACTGTGTGCCCCCCCCCCTTCCTGTTAATCATTGTGTTCAACAGCCTGAGTTTGTTTGCTTAAACTGCACTGCCAAGCTAAGAGCTTCAGTTTGAAGCATGTGAATACTGCCTGGAGACATATTCTGTCAATAAATATGTAGTGCTTTAAAAAAATTGCCTAACCCTGTCTTTTTCCACTGTCACACCTCGTCCTCCCAATTGGCTGGGTATGCTATAGGGCATGGCATCTGACTGGCTATTGGGCCACATTCTTTCCAGGGTTTAATTTTATCACAGCTGGGAAAAGTCCTTTAACAGGCACATTATTTGTGGAACTTTGAACTTCAGAAAAAATGAAAGAAAAAAAGGCACGCATATTAATTAGCAAGCTTACCTCACCACCTAACTTACTGCACAAAGTGACTGTGGCACTCTGATGAATAAAGGTTAACTTCTTTTTTAAAGCACCAAAACAACCAACAGCCCATCATCACCCAAAATTGCATAGAGGCTAATGTGAGTGAATTTCAAGTTTATTTTGCCCTGGTCATATAGGATGCAGACGGAGAACCCTAATGCTTAGAAGAAGGAGAAAAGAGCATCTCAGGTTTTTTTTTTTTTTTTTCTTTGAGATGGAGCCTCACTATGTCTCCCAGGCTAGAGTGCAGTGGCACCATCTTGGCTCACTGCAACCTCCGCCCCCAATGTTCAAGCAATTCTCCTGCCTCAGTCTCCCAAGTAGCTGGGATTACAGGCGCCCACTATCATACCCGGCTAATTTTTGTTTTGTATTTTTAGTAGAGACGGGTTTCACCATGTTCGCCAGGCTACTCTTGAACTCCTGACCTCAGGAAGATGCCCCGCCTCAGCCTCCCAAAGTGCTGGGATTCCAGGCGTGAGCCACCGCACCTGGTGCATCATCTCAGTTTTACTGAACTTAAGGAGAGAAGCTCTTATGTCCGGATTTACAAATACTTTAAAGAAGGGTTTTTTTTAATCCATAAAAAAGGAGAATAATTTTATCACCATAGGTCAATTGTGAGAATAAAATCAGATAACATATGCAGAGCTCATCACCGTGTCCAGAAACAGATTGGGGTGGTAAAGAAGCAGCAAAATGGTACTAAACAAGAAGCTGTCACATGCACACATGCACACACGTATGCACACGCATACACACACAGGTGTGCACATGCATAAACACACATGCACACGCATGCTCACGCACACACACGGATACACACATACATGCGTGCACACACATGTGCTCAGGCACATATACATGCATACACATATATGCATGCACACACGCATACACACATACCCCTCACCCCACACTCATACTTCTAGCAAATGACACAATTACCACCACTCCTTTGAAATATTCTTCCTCTTCCCTTTTCCCGCCTCTGTGAGCCCATGCCAATCAGATTACACATCTAAAACAGCAGTGATGCAGTGATGAGTTTTGTATGATGTAGTCAGCCGCACCCGGTGTGAAAGCATGTCTCATTGGCTCCAAGCTCACGTATTCCTATATTTCTAGCTCCTAGCATTGTCTGTATGTAGTAGACAATCAACTATTTATTTATTTATTTATTGAGACAGAGTTTTGCTCTGGTCACCCAGGCTGGAGTGCAATGGCACGATCTCAGCTCGATGCAACCCCCACCTCCCAGGTTCAAGTGATTCTCCTGCCTCAGCCTCCTGAGTAACTGGGATTACAGACACCTGCCACTGTGCCCAGCTAATTTTTGTATTTTTAGTAGAGATGGGGTGTCACCATTTTTGGCCAGGCTGGTCTCAAACTCCTGACATCAAGTGATGCGCCATCCTTGGCCTCCCAAAGTGCTGGAATTACAGGTGTGAGCCACAGCGCCTGGCCATCAATCAACTCTTTATTGGTTGAATGCTCAAGTTTTCATTTCCCTGTTTCCCTGATCACATTATTGAGAAATTCCAGGTAATACTGATTTCCAGGAGACACATATTTGTATCTATGAATGTGGTACAGTCAACATACTTAATTTTTCCAATATATCTTCTAATGTTTATTAAATTATATTAATTAAATAATTTACTCTTTCGGAGAGATGGGGGTCTTGCTATGTTGCCCAGGCTCGTCTTGATCTCCTCAAGCGATCTTCCCACCTCATCCTCCCAAAGCTTTAGGATGACAGCTGTGAGCCACTGCATCCAGCTCATTTTCTTCATCTCAAAGACAACATGATATTACAGATAATTGATACAGTGTTTCCACATCCTGTACTGATAAATACAGTGTTTCCACCTCATGCCCTTAGGATGTACACATTTTTACTTGATCAAGAACACAGGTGAGACTGGGTGCAGTGGCTCATGCCTGTAATCTCAGCACTTTTGGAACGCCAAGGCAGGAGGGGCTGTTGAGGCCAAGAATTCGAGACCAGCTAGGCAACACAGCAAGGCCCCATCTCTAATAAATTAAAAAAAAAAAAAGAAGCAGGCAGGGAGATGCAAGCTTCCATCCTGCACTTTGCACTTAATATCACACCGTAACATTTTCCATAGTGCTTCTTGGCGTGTCTCAGGCATTGCCTTCACAATCATTAGGTCAGGACATAAGACTGGGGCTATTCTTGTTGGTTTTTCACCACCCCAGCTAAAAGTGCGTGCATTGAGACTGCGGTCAACTCCATTTCACAGCATCAGGAATACAGGAAATGATGACGAGAAAGGACCCAGGAAAAATTCTCTAGCACTCAGTGAGTCAGTTTTCAGTTGCTTCTGGAATCAGATTCTACAGCATGACTCAGATACACCTATTCGTGCCCACAGAGTCCCCAAAATAGAATTGAATCAATCTATTTTCTTAACTATCTTTCATGCGTCTATCCAGAATTCTTTTGAACAAATCACTTCTTCAATACAGTAGGCATACAAAATCAATTTTTTTTTTCTGAAATGACTAAAATTTCTCTAATTTTTTAGTTGACTTTTAATGTCTCTTTAGACCCTATCCATAGCAAATGAAATTGACTATAGGAATGAGTAAATGAAAATGCCGACGCTGAACTATGCTTATCTAAACTAGTTAAGTAATTTTTACCATATTTTCTCCTAATTTACCTAGACAATTGCATCAGATCTTTTTCTTTGACTCTCACCTCATTCTTGGCCTAGTTCTATCCATCTAGACATTGCAGGCATAAAAGCATCTTGAATCATTTGCTTGCTCTTTGAATTTCCATCTCACCGGATTTAGTTGCAGGATAATGAACACTTGCATTTTGTGCTCTGCTGCAGGTACAAGCAAAGTTCCAGCATCTTTATTTATCCTTACCTGAAATGCATGGGAGGCCCTTGATTTTGAGCTCTGGAGCATTTACCATAATGTAAAATAGTATTGTTGACAATGATAGACATTTAAATAAGAGTTAATATGAGCCGGGTGTGGTGGCTCATGCCTGTAATCCCAGCACTTCGGGAGGCTGAGGTGGACGGATCACCTGATGTCAGGAGTTTGAGACCAGTCTGACCAACATGGAGAAACCCCATCTCTACTAAAAATACAAAATTAGCTGGGCGTGGTGGTGCATGCCTGTAATCCCAGACACTTGGGAAGGTGAGGCAGGAGAATCGCTCGAACCTGAGAGGTGGAGGTTTTGCTGAGCCGAGATGGTGCCATTGCACTCCAGCCTGGGTAACAAGAGCGAGACTCTGTCTCAAAAAAAAAAAAAACAACAGAATTAATACGAACCTATTTCCTTTTCCTTTTCTTCTTTATTTTTTTCTTTTAAAAATGGGGTTTCACCATGTTGGTCAGGCTGGTCTTGAACTCCCGACCTCAGGTAATCCGCCCACCTTGGCCTCCAAAGCGCTTGGATTACAGGTGTGAGCCACCAACCCGGCCTGAACCTATTTCCTTTTACTGCAACCCAGTGCCAGCTGATGCATTTTCTTTTGGTAGGCACGTGGGACACGCTGGTCTTCCTGGCCCTCCGGCTTTCCCAATGCCCTTGTGCAATCTACCACTAATCACTCTCCTCAATTCTGGGCTCTAGGCGCATGCATTTGTGCGATATAACGGGAGGAGATAGTAATCAGAAAGTGACCAAAAAGAATAGAGATTGTCCATCCCAGCTTGAACTTTAGATCAAAATTAATACCCTCCAATTCTAAGTTGGAAGCGCTGATCAGGTGGGATAAATAAAGAGCTCTGAACAAGCTGAGAACCAGCAAAGACTTCTAGTTTGGTTGCTCGGTAACTGACCGCGTGTATATTATGTTCAATCTCTAATTGCTTATTTCTCCATAATACATACTCTTATAAATTCTCACTCCAGGACATAAACTAATTTTTATTGCACTAAGATACTGCACTTAGACTATAGCCTCAATAATTGATTGTAGAAAGAGAAGCGGAAGAAAAGGGGTTCCTTTCTACAGTCAAGAATCCGTCATCCTCACCTTAATTATTCATGGACCATATGACACCCAAAGCACTTTTCACATATTCATTTTACCTGTGTGCCCAAATTAGAAACCAGGGGGCCAATGGAAACTTTCTCAGCATCTTTGAAAGCCTGATGCTGCCTCAGAGGAAGAACAGTTTGGATTAAACTGGTTTTTAATTCAACGGGCAAAACATTTTGTCATTTTTCTTGTCTTTTTTTTTGAGACAGAGTTTTGCTTTTGTTGCCCAAGTGGAGTGCAAATGGAGCGATCTTGGCTCACTGCAATCTTCACCTCCTGGGTTCAAGTAGCTGGGATTACAGGCATGCGCCACCACGCCCAGCTAATTTTTGTATCATTTTGTCCTTTTACAAAAAGACAACTGTTTTCCTGTCCTCCTCTCTGCCTCCTCTTTCTCATTTATGTGTTTTCTATTGACAAGTTCAGTGCTGTTTTATCCTCATCACTATTCCTTTTTAAGTACGCGTTATAACCACAGGCTTCAAGCAACAGGCCTCAAATAGTACAATTAAAAAGAGCCCCGGAGGCCAGGTGTGGTGGCTCATGCTTGTAATCCCAGCACTTTGGGAGGCAGAGGCGGGTGGATCACCTGAGGTCAGGAGTTTGCCATCAGCCTGGCCAAGATGGTGAAACCCTGTCTCTAGGAAAAATACAGAAATCAGCTGAGCGGCCTGCAATTCCAGCTACTCAAGAGATGGGGATGGAATCATTGCTTGAACCTGGGAGGCGGAGGTTGCAGTGAGCTGAGATCGTGCCACTGCACTCCAGCCTGGGCGACAGAGCGAGACTCAATCTCAAAAAAAAAAAACAACAAAACCCTGGATTCTGTGTCAGAAACTCTCCATGGACCAAGGCCACTCATGACAGGCTTGGAGCTCTTGAAGTCATTTGATTTATAATCACAGCTTCCTCTTGGAGTGAATTTGAGAAAACAACACCCTCAGATCTCACAGGCTGGAGGGG